GGCTGGAAGCGCCAACGTCGTGGGAGATTGTGATTCTGACCTACTAGAATTTAGATCTAGTGGAAGTCACTCAGATTCACAAAGGATTTGGCCACGATTGTGCTTCCTAACGTAGAGCTTCTATTAGGAAATCAATATTATAAACCTAGCATTCTCTACAAACGATTTAGGGTTGGTTAAGAAAAAAAATACAATAGGCTTTAGAGAATCTCATTGCCGTGGTAGTTGATCGAAGTCCCAAGATTGTGTCCCGGGTGAAGCTTTCATGTCCTTCCCCAAAGTAATGAGGAAACTCTCCTCGCCGGAGAGATCGGCTGAAAAGTTTACCGGAGTTCTCTAATGTAGGCTGACGGTCTCCTTGTCGGAGAGACCGTGAGCTCGTTGATGTGCTCTTTTTTCCAAGCTAGAATGAAGCTCTTTTAGCCGCGCTTCTTGGAAAGTTCGTCGGATAAGGAAGAAGTCGCCAGACAAGAAGTAGAAAGGTGAAGAAGAAGTTGGAAGATGACCAACTCCCTTGGCTTCTCTCCTTGAGAAAGCTGAAGAGCCTTCCTCTCTTGCTCCCTCCAGGAAGCTTTCTCCAAGGGGAAGATGAAGCTTCCGTTTCTTGCTCCAAGCTCTCAAGTTTCCAAAAGATCTCTCAAGACTAGCCCCACAAATCTGAAATGAGGGGGCGATTAAGTGTGGATGATGCAGGATGAGGGAAATCAGCTCATGCCAAGCATAAAACCAGCCCCACTCAAAATTTCCCTCTTATTATGCCAAAAGTGGCCTTATGATGCCACCTAGACGCTTCCAAAAAAGGTATCATGAGTCTCTTTTTACTTTCTCCATGCACATTTTCACCTTAGCCAAAGAAATCCCACTTTTTGACCGCCTTGGGGGGGCGGGGGGGCACTAGGGTCAAATCGGCCCCAAAAATGAAGAAAATCGCATCCTGGAAGTGGGGACTATTTTCCAGCTCCTCGGGAAAATGACTTTTTTTAAACTATTTGGGCGCATAGGCACCCTAGATTCGGCGACTAGGCGCCAAACAAGCCTAGGCGCCCAGTTTGGCGCCTAGGTGCCTGATACTGGCACCAGACTTCCCCACCTCGAGTTTTAAGCCCTTTAAAAGCTGTTTTGGGCACCTAGGCGCCCGAAGCTGGAGCCTAGACACTGGCCTAGCCCCGAAAATGATGTTTTTTGTCAGAAACGTCTGGCGAAGGGCTTTCTCGATCCAAAAGCAATGGGAGAACACATATGAGTAAATTTTGAACCCCTAACTTTAAAAATGAATATTTTGCTCGTTCATTGATAAGAAAATTTGTCGCCAATAGGCGTTCTGAACTACGACGCGAGTATTGCATTCTAAACTCTAATTTTTTTGTAACTCACGTAGGAGGGCTCGGTGAGCTCTCTTGACTCCAGGGAGGCTTCAAATGGATAAAGAGGGATCCCTAAACACCAGAATGAACATCAAACATGTCCAATGTCCTGGGTGAGTTCATCCAACTGTGAGTTGTCCCTGCTGAGGTCGAATCATCACAAACCCTGGTTTTATGCCCCGAACACTTACCGGAGGTTTTGGATGGGAGTTTTGAGCTACCGGATGCTTTGAGAAAGCTGTTAATCATCTCGAGTCAGTCATGCGGACACTTTACAAACGTGAATTCAAAAATTGACTCCAACAATAATACTGGCATAACTTATTGTGATTATTTTCTTATTCTTTTTACAACTTTGCTTTCAAAGTGATTGGAGAATCGAAGGTCTAAATATGTTTAGTTGAATACTTGCATGATTAAGTTCTGGTTAAAGAGCTAGGCTACAAACCCGACCAACTAGACAATTTGGTTGGACCAATTCAGTTTTCTGAATCTGCGAGCGCTGGTTGACAATTGGACTATAATGATCAGTGCATGAGTGTCAAACGTAGCTGAGCAATCCACCAAGGCGATATGATTCAACTCTAAGCACAAAAGGTAAATCGATTCAAGAAGATTAACGCAATTAATAGCCAAATTGGCTGGCATCATTTTAGCCTTAAAGCTAAGCAGACCAATAAAAGCTTTACCCGAAAGATATTATTGAGAGCAATTATCAAGGTAAGGCCTTACCAGGAATAATATTTATTATAACTTCAATATTAGCAAAGCATAGAAAAAGGGAAAAATCAACTATCTTTCAGGATCAGTGTGTATTTAGTAATTATTCTGTAACATATAATAGAGTCCTTTATAATTAAGGGGAGAGGGGGGTGCTGTAAGGGGCTTCTTCCCGACGGAAAAATTAGAGAAGCATAACATTTTCACTTATTTTCTTAATTCTCACTCGGTTCTGAACTCTCTTTTCTTGACCTTTTTCTTTATTGTGCGAGTCTATGGACAAATCGGGGTTCAGCAGCAGTGAATAGATACGAATTTTTTTTTTGGAGCAAATACAACAACTATTTGGAGCACAAAATGAAGTATTTTAATCATTGTAATTGCTTATTCCAAATAAATTGTGGTCTGATTTGTACCCAAACCAGAAAATCCTCTTTTTTATAGTAATTATTAAGAAGATTGTATAATTCTTCCACGTTTATGCTTGTATAAAAGATCTTTGAAAAATCAAAATAATTTAAGAACATGAGCTTTAACCATTGATTCTTGGATAGAGTTATACTTATATGATTAGTTAAAGAAGCCATAATAATTGCTAAACACTTGTATGAAATCTTTGGCAGAAAGAGGTCAAATCATGAAAGCTACATACATCAGTTAAAGATTTAGGTTTAGGACAATCTAGTGTTGCCCAAATTTTAATAAAGTTTGCAAACATTTCATTGATAGAGAAAAATAAACTGACGAATGTGTTTTTATGCTCAGGTTGCATAATAGATTTTTTCCTTTTAAATTCATAGAAGTTCTTGAGCATGCAGTATTGTCAAAAACAAGTGCATGAGACCCAATTAATTAGACTGAATAAATGATAATATTGTTAAAATTCATCATTAAGAATTTACAAATATTATGAAAAATGAATCAGCCAAATATTTCTAGAGAACTATTAGTAATGAAGTAATAGTTATTGGAAAACAACCCGTTATTGAATTTGATCACTTGAGCAACTTGCGCTTAGAGTTCACGTTACTTTATACCAAAATATTGTAAATTTAAAAGAAGCAATTTTTTTATGCAATGAAAGCATTTAGATTTTGTGCTCTATACCAATTATAATAAAACATATTGCTTAAGACAATCCTAGGATGGCCTCAAATTGAATAATTAACTAATGTGTTAGATTTCATAGTTTGGTTATTTTCTAACATAGATTTATGAAGGGGTTTAAGACCGTTATGACTCAATTTGACTGATGCACCGAAATAAGCCAAATTTCATATCCACTTTCTACACAAAAACTCTTTTACTAGATTAAAAAACTAATAAATATTTCTATATTTTTTAGATTACCAGGCAATTCTAAAAATTTTTACAAATTCTATAATAATGGTTGAGCAAGATAGTGAGGTGGGTTAAAAAGAGTGACCTGGGTGTCCCTCCCACGCTAATGCGGGCCATCCAAAGGAAATGAGATTGTATCCCGCACGCGAATGTAAGAAGCAACCCAATTGCTTTACCTAGATCAAACCGGTCCAAGTTTTTGCGAGTCAGGTTTTCCGTGAGTTTGTTTGGGACACCCGTCGGCGTCTCTCCTCTCCCTTCAAGGACTTCGGTTGTATCTCACTCCCGATATATGCAATGAGAGCAATTTAACTTTGAAAAATGTCTGAAAAGGGTGGACAAGCTGTGGCTCGTATCACTGTTATATGGCATTTGTCTAGCTTGATTTGTATACTCGTGAGGTGCTCTACATTCATCTTTATGTAGTGCGTTAACTCGTTATAGTTAACAAGTTAATATATAGTAGATGTTGTTGCTTCCTCTAGAATGTTGGCACACAACATTTTTAGCTATAATTATCTAGGAAGTAGAATATTACTAATATGTTATTAATACTTGGCTTTGTACATTCATGCTATAACATCCTTCTGTTTCCCTACCGATGCTCCTTGATTCCTTTAGTCCAGCTATTGCTCAGTTTTGGCTAGCTGGTAAAGAAATTGACATTTTTACGTCATTAAATGGCTCCAAATCACCACAATCTATAGCTGCTTAACCTTTTTCTTAAACAAAAGGGCTTGTTATGGATCATTTTCGTTTTCTATTTTGGTTTTTGTTTAGTGAGTTTTTGTATGCTTTTATTTATTTATTTTTTAAAACAAAATAATTTTTTTTTAAAAACACTCATAACATCTAATCGTTGTTTCCAGACAGAAAAAACTGATGCTTGTGTTTGGAAACAAAATCATTGCATTTGCACATGGAGTTCATAGTCAATATTAATTTCTAAATAAATCCAATAGAATGACGGATTTAACAAATTTCAAAGCTTTTTTAGAGCTTGTTTTTTAACTCAAAAGGAACCAAATTCTCTGCCAAGTCCAAAGCGCAGTTGTTGCCACTCATAGACAAGAACATTTATTCGGAGAATTATACTTCCATCATTGAAGCCAAGAAATTTAACAATAGTTGAAGCATGGCAGCTCTAGGCAACCTTGTAAACTGAGGTTTCCATCAGACAGCCGGAAGCTTGAATGGATGTGATTCGAGGAAATCATTAAATTGCTGTATGATTTGAGCAACAAAATAAACTGAGTTAGCCAGATAAAATTCCATTAAGAAAATACTACTTTCCCTTTAATTCTCTCCCATAATTTTCCTTGAGATTATCAATTTTAGTTATGTAAGTTTGCCTTTGCAGTTAATTTCATCTTCGTACTCTTCTTTTTTACTGAATCAAATAAATTCTTCACCTTTTTTTCATCAACCATCCTCTTAATTGGTTGTAATTTTCAAGTTCTCTTAAACTTATCTTTGATTGTTGCAGTGCAACATCTGTTACCTTATGTTCATCAACCATCCTCTTAATTGGTTGTAATTTACAAGTTCTCTTAAAATTATCTTTGATTTTTGCAGTGCAACATCTGCTACCTCTCACGTTGTGTTGGGCCAGTTCAAAACGTGTGTGATTATGCTTGGTGGATACCTCTTCTTCAATTCTGATCCAGGCATTGTAAGCTTGTGTGGCGCCCTTGTTGCTCTCTCTGGAATGACTTTCTATACATGTCTTAATCTGAGAACATCTCAGGACTCAACAGCAGCAGCTACAAAGCAACTCTTAAAGCAGGCACCATTTGCCCAGAAAACTAAAACCGCAGCTGATGGCGAGAGGTCTGATACAAAGGTTTCTATGGATCCTATCTTGGATATAAATCTTAAAGAGATTGCATAAACAAACTCTCTTATGGCCGCACTTACCTTCTTCCTCATTCATTCTTTTACCTCTTCTTCACATTCGTTTGTTCGTTATTTTTTATATTTTCACACTTGAAAATTAGCGATAAGGATCATTTGAATTTCAAGTGATTTTGAGGTTGACTTTAAGACATCCTTTTGATTATCTACGGAATTGTTCCGATTCTTCCCTGTTTATATAAAAAAAAAAAGGTTTGAAGAAATTTCAGTATATTTTTCTAAAGTATCATGTCTTTTGCAATTAGCATCAAATAATGTGTTGTAAATTTATTTAATGGTACCTTGGCGGTGTAGATATGTTGTGAAGAGCTTCGATTAATCAGATTTTTTTTTTTTTTTTTTTTTTTTCCCCCTATATTGGATTTGCTGCACATGATTCATAAATGGTTGAATCCATTTTGTTCAATTCTAATTGTATAGTAACTGATGTCATGATTGGGCTCCGGGTTTATAATTAATTAAGGCGAGAACGGATTGATGGTATAAAGCAATTTTTTTTCTCACTATTAATTATTCGAAAAGGTAAATAAAGGAGCCACTAAAAAAGAATTAAAATAATTATAAATTTACTTTAGGTTTGGTTGTTCATGTTTTTCATAAATGTGACTATTTTAATGTTTATTATTTAATAAATTAAATAAACTTGAAATGTTAAATTAAAATAATATTGAGCTAATTAGAGCTAATGAATACTCGTATTTTTAAAATATAACAATATAATAAGAAAGAAGACAATATACAAGTCATTTGCATTTTTAATAAATTAATAAAAAACACATTTAATTATTTATGAATATGATTGATCACACTATTGTATAACATTTCCGTGTATATTAATATATTAATAACATATATTTATATACATAGAACTGTCACAAAAGCATCATCTAAAATAATACAAATTAAGACATCAATTAATATCATTTTTTATTTATATGCATGGGAACCTTAGAGTTTCTAAGTTAGTCTCATGTTGGGGTGGCTCTTTTATGTATGAGGTCTATCATTTCCTTCTTTTCTTTAGAACTTAAGATCTTGCCTTAAGAATTTTCCTAATGGCTTTCTTAAAAGACTAGTTAAGGAGCCAAAGCCAAAATAGAACTTCAAACATCTTTTCACTTATAAGGATTTCATACACTTGACTCAAAATCTTTGATATTTGCTTGAGCTGATTAAAGTCATGTCATTTGAAACCTGAGTTGAGTTCCTATAGAATTGAAAATGTTTCAAGTGATTTGTTGACTCTAAAAGCTTAGATCTTCTTTTAGTCTCTCATTCTATACTACTTCACATAATCCTTACATAATTCTTTCCTTGGTTCATGAAAAACTCATAGGAGATGAGGTTCACCTTGAGCTAACATAAGGTTTATGACTTAAAATTATTATCAATTTGAAAACAAGATTAATTAAAATTGAAACTTCAAAATCCAACTGCAAACTAAAACAAAGCTAATTGAAATCATAAAAAAAATTCAAAATAAGGCAAATTCATCAAAATTTGTTTAGAAGTTTTGCTTTTACGTACATGTGTTTAGAAGAGTTGCTTCTATTTACGTATAATTTGAACAGTGTTAGAAATTTTGCTTCAACATTCCTGTTTTATCATAAACTAATCTTTCATGCCCAAGATGTCAATCAATAATTTGCTCACAATATTGTATTTTTATTTTTGAAATAGTATATAATTAACATTCTCAATAATAAATGACAGTATGTATTGATTTTGGGGACCGTGAAGCTTATTGTATAGCAGTTCATTATAACGTATAATGCATCAGACTGAATCTCTTTATCACTTATATATTGACTAAAAGAAAATATGTTGAGATTTTCATACCTATTTTATACTGTTTTTGACGATATTGCACTTTAAAGAAATGTATTTTTGATGTTTTGTTGCAAGAATGATGAAATAGGGTTATTGGAGCAAAAAGATGCAAAAAGGAGCAAATTTGGAGCGAAAAGAACCAAAATGTGAAGAATTGAACTAGGGCGCCGACGGCGCCATCGACCCACCGACAGTGAGATTTTCCCGAGACTTCAGAATTAATTCATTAAGAAGGTCCGTCGACGACGCCCTCGAGGCCGCCGACGGCTAGCTCGGCGATTATGTCCAACTAGGCTTTGGATGAGGACAAAATTTGAAGGGATGCTTAGACAACTCTTGAGAAAACTCATCCACATTTTTAAAGTGAAGACTTTGGCCGAAAATAGAAGGGGAAGGCTCCAAATTGAAGTGTGAAAAAAGTGTAGAGAGTCTAAATTGTGAGGAATTCTTCGAGAGATTGTAAGAGTGGAGGGAAAGTGAGAGATTTCTTCCTCCTTGCCGCTTCGAAGAGGAATTCTGTGTGTTGTAAAGAAAGGAAGAGATTCAGAGGAACTTCGAGGAGATTTCTTGGCGAGAAATTAGAGATAAGTTTATTTATTGTTGTAGTTTGTATGACTTTGATTTTATATATGAATTCCGAGTTTTGTTGTGTTTTTCCCATGAGATCTGAGTAGTTTTCTCTGTCTTTCTCCTTGTCTTTAGATTTATGAAATGACAATTTGAATTGGTTGAGCTACAAAAATGTTAAAGAAATTGTGATGATCTTTTCACTTCAATCTTAATTTACTTTCAATCTGGCCAATTGATTTGTTAAAATATGTTGAGTTTTCCAACTAAAGTGAAAATTACATCCAAGATTCAAGGAGGTCAAAGCCCTTGGAAGTTGGGTGCAAATAAATAGAGAAATAAAATAGGGAGGTCAAAGCCCTTGAAAGTTTGGTGCAAATAAATAGGGAAATAAAATTATCGGGCATAGAATTGGAGATTTTAGAGTGACAGACTAAAATCCTCAATATGGTCCTATCAATTGGGCGCTGAAGTGTAGATGTTAGCCCTCAGGCGAGGGGAACGTGGAAGCTCCGAAGTGAGAGCTGGTATCCTCTCATACAAGCCGCAGATTCATTAAACAAGCGTAGGATTAGTCAATGTTCTTTATGCCTAGACCAAAGGGTAAAGAATAGGTATGCTCCTGTTTGGCAATATAATTTGAACTAATTCACTATAATTTCTTGACAAGGAGAAGGATGCTTTCTGATATATTGAATATCACATTAAAAACCTCATTAGCATAATTAGTTATTTAAGAGTTATTAAGAAAATTACATATTTATTTCAATTGCCTATTAGTGACAGATAAGCAAATTGAATTTTGTTGTAGCGATTAAAGTATTGCTTTTCTAAAGTCTTAGTTCATAGTCCTAATATTACTCCTTGTGGGATCGATATCTAGGACTCCATTAGAGCCCTATATTACTTAAGCTATACGTATACTTGCATTGATAAGTGTGACTTTACAATTATTGAATGTTTTATACATACACCTTTATCAAATCTATAACTGTTATTAAGTTTTGGTACAATTGCTGAGGAATTAAATCATTTAGGAGCAGTATTAATCACTTATATTTTTATGCATATATAAAGTCACAGTCAAGTTTTTGGCGCCGTTGTCGGGGAGTAAACAAGAATCATAATTAGAGTAACAAATAAATTAGGATTATTAGAAAATTTTTACTTGAATTGTAACTTATTTTCATATTTAGTTAATTATATTAGTGTGTACTGATTTCAAATTATATGCGTAAATTTGGACCTAAAAATCTTATACCCTACGATTCAGAATTATAACGCACTGTTAGAAAGATTAGAGGATTGAGAAGAGAACCTAAAAATTTTGTTACAATGGAAAACAACATGAACAATCAAGGAATAGAGAATGAACACCAACCTAGACCCCTACGAGATTATGCAAATCCTACAACAAATGAAATTCACTTATCTATCCAAAACCCTGATGTAGCTGCTAATTCATTTGAGCTTCAACCTGCTATTATCCAAATGATACAAAACAATCAATTCGGAGGTACGCAAAATGAAGATTTTAATTTACTCCTCGCTAGTTTTTTAGAACTGTGTGCTACTTTTAAATATGACAGAGTCTCAAACGATGCTGTTAGACTTAGACTTTTTCCTTTTTCACTTAGGGATAAGGCTAAGATGTTAAATTCGTTAGCACTAGGATCTATTAGAACTTGGGGAGAACTTTCACAGATATTTCTATCTAAATATTTCCCTCCATTCAAAACTGCTAAACTTAGAAATGAAATAACATCATTCTGTCAGATTGATGGAGAGTCAATATATTAAGCTTGGGAGAGATTTAAAGAACTTCTTAGGAAATGACCTCATCATTCGTTACCATATTGGTTGATAATTCAAACTTTTTATAATGGATTAGTGGGATCACTTAGATCGATTATAGATG